AGCTAGCTCTAAATGTGTCTCTTTTCAGTATCCAATTGCCTTTTGATTTTGTTTTGAGAGGTCTTGCATAATGCAGGGAGAAGTACATGCCTAACATAGCTTTCTGTGCTCCACTTCAGAGAAATTGGAGAGTAATGTGGGAGGGAGTGAGAAGTTCTCAAAAAGCTACCAGAATCTACCTTTACCTTTCAAAATTCTTTATGCCTTGCCTAAGGACAAAGAAAAAAAAAAATCTGTGTCGTGCTGAGAACTGAATTTTTTCACGTGTTTTTTTCCTCAAGCACATGTCTATTCTTTCTAAGGGCTGACCCAGTGTAGCTTAATTTATGAAATCTGATCAGAATGCAATTCTTTTTAAATTTTGGCTAATTTACTTTTTATGTTATTATTGTAAAAGTTTCGAGCAATAGTTAAGATGTGATTCTGCAATTTCAGATTTTGCACAGAAGGCCTAGCTCTACCTTGCAATTAGCCCAGTTGGTCAGGGTGATAATGACATCAGTGTCATGGCTTCAGTCCCAATGCAGGCCGTTTACTTAAGAGTTGGACTCAATGATCCTCGCAGATCCCTTCCAACTCAGAATATTCCGAGGATCTGTGACTGTTATCTATGGGCTTCTCTGGGCTATCCTAGCAACATCAGAACTCTGGCAGGGCTAACCTGTGCCCATTATATCTGTAAAACATTAGAAACACCTTTGACTTCCTATCTTCTGAATACATTCCATTTCATAAGGAGCTACACCCCTGCTATATTTTAAATTTGTAAAACTGGCACCAGTAATGCAGCACTCAATCTGCTCCATAGGAATTGAAAAATGAAAACAATGATCAGCCAAAGTCTATTTATTTATTTATTTTTCCTTTGCTGAAAATGCAAATAGTTCAGTGCCATGAAAAGTTATTATTGCTGCAGTAGAGATATCCCAGCATCTGGTTATTGGTGTTTAGAAAGGAGAGCTATACTTTTGAGAGTGGAGTTTTCTTATAAAGCATTGCAACTACTGGGTTTATGAGCATCTAAAGATTCTCCAGTGTTCAATGTTTTATATTTACAGTGCTCTAGATTCAGGAGAATTTCAGACCAGTGATGAACAGCAAAATGCTTGATTAAAAATAAACCTCTTAAAATCAAAACAGTTTCTGGCTTTTCTTCCTCTGCAGTTTCCAAGGAATTCTTACAGCAGTATGATAGAAAGTATGATTTGATTTTATGACTTTTTTAAAGTCATAGTTTAAAGTTAAAATAACTCCACTTTTACGCTGGAAGTAGTTTTATACTAGGAAAAGAAGAAATGGTTGGGAGATTTTATGGTCTGCAGATGAAATGGAAACCTTGCCCCCAAGTTCTGTTTGCAAGGAAGCAGAGAAATTGCAATCTTTAATGGCTGCAGTCTTTGAACATTGAAAGTTTAAAAAGAGAAAGAATTATAGAAAGACCTTCTGTATCCCATAGCTGTGCAGTTCCAACAGATATATTTTATTTTTTTTTTAATTCAACTATACCTAGCCTGAATTACTGTGCTCCCCCTTAGTTTTCCTGAGGTACACTCAAACTTTTAAAATACTCCATTTATGTTACTTTTACATAAACCTCCATAGAAGCAAAAAATTGAACTAGCTCGTCGCTTACCAGTTTTTGAGAAGAGAACAATATCAATTTTATTAATCTGGCGTTTGCCTGTGCTGCAAGCAGGAATCTGGTAAATAAGAAAGCATATATCTATTGGCCTGTGCTTTAGCAATAAGCTGTCACATCTATGGCAGCAAACTTTGGCTGTAAGAATGGATTCCAGTCAATAAGACTCTTGAGACAGTTTCAGTCTGGATCTGAGAAGATATTAGTTCATAACTTACAATATAACCTGACAGTAAGCCGTCTCTTTATTTTCCGTTTTCATTGACAGGTCCTGAAAAGTCCAGTTCTACCTGTTGTTCTGGGCACTAAGGTGCTTTCTTCCTGATGTCATTTTGTCTATATGGAAAAGGGTTTCATTAAGAAGCCAAAGCTATAGGCTTATATATAGAAGAAATGGACAAAAATTGGAGAGTTTCAAGTCAGACACAAAGAAAGGTTCCTGAATTAAGTGTATCAATCTCTAATAAGGTTTAAATTGCTAAAAAAACCCCACAGATATTAACAGAATAATAGTTCATGAAAGTACTTTCAGAACTCCTTGAAATTAACTGACCATTTGAAAAAAAAATGAACTATGTCATTCTGCTTTTTTAATATTTGTGTGATGAAAACTAGTATTTTTAATGACCTAGAAGAAATGACCTGCCAGTTATCAAAATTATAAAGAAGTTTAGAAAATAATGCACTGCCAGAAAGATTTTCCTTTTTAAGATATCAACTTCATATAGATAATAAGGAGGAAGAAGGCTTGTAGAAATGTTTTCCATAATTTTGAAACCATTAATCTGGAGGATTCCTAATTTAAATCTAGATTATGACTGAAAGTCTACAACCACCATAAGGGTTTATGGAACTTACTGTCTTGAACTTAAAATAGTAATTGAATTTTTCAAGCTGATGGAACATTTCCGATTGAGAGTTGAACAATATTACAGGGTATTCACCTCACAAATTAATGATTTTTCCTGTTTATGAAGACATTCCCTTGTCAATTTTGAAAAGTTACAAAAGATGAGAAAAGTAGAACAGTCACATAGCCTGGAGGGAGGTTAATCACACCAAGTTTTGATGTCTTTCTGATGACTGTGCAAATTGTTTTTTAGGTTATACTGAATATATTAGGTTGGTGAGTTGACTCCAATGAGAGCCTGGACAGCTGTTTTGTAGAGATGGATTTATGCTGTAAATATCAAGATGGGGTGAAAGCATCCTATGAAATTCAACACAGAAAGTAAAGGAGTACTCAGTTATACAGGCTGTACTTCCTAGAAGTGTGGGGAGCAATGGAAGATGCTGAAACAAGATTTTTGTCTCTTCATTAAGCCAATAATGTTCTGCCATTGTAAAAAGATGATGTGCTTCTTAGAAGGAAAAACATTTTGCAACATACAAAGGGAAGGGAAAAAAATAACAGAATTGTATGTAAGAGAGCAAGAAGAATTATTTTCAGGAATGTGTAACTACTGGAAATTATTCAAGAGGCAGTTTATGGGTGGAATCAGACCTCACTGAATAGGACATATGAGAAGGACATGAGGCATGAACCAGTATGATAAATATCTGAGTTAAAATAATGAGGAGAAAATAGAAATAGAATGTATACAAAAAGAACTGAATATATACTGGGCAAATATTTTTTTACTATATTCCCAAACTGTGTGTTTAAGTAAAATATAATTTTAAAATTTTGTTATTGTTTTAGAAAGTAGAGGATGTCAGCTAAAGTTGACATATCAGATAGTGTATTCATTTTGCGAAAAAAAAAGTAATGAAGAATTTAAGCCTAAGGAACTGTAAGTTTTAAAAAAACTAGAGTACCTAGTGAAACAAAACCAAGACACCAGACAGAAACAGCATTATTAAAAAATTAAGCCACAGAACATGTGTCATATATATGAACTGTGGAAAACCAGCTATAGCAATGGTGGACATTCAATCATAATTCAATTTTGTGCATTTATATGGTTTTTTACAAAGGTATAGATCTAAGCACATGTGCTGGTTTAGGGCAAATTTGTTAAAGAATCTGCAAAGGAGGGCCCCTCCAGAAAGCAAAACCCACACGGCCCCTCCCCCCAACCGGTTTGGGAAAAATTCCTCGGAGAGAGGTGGAAAGAACCTGTTTATTTGACTGGCCCCGCACCCCCCAGCACACAAAATGAACAATACCCGATGACACCGCTCTGAGAAAGATGGCAAAATCAGAAAGTCTCTTTCGGGGGTGGTTGCTCTGTTCTCAGTCCCTCCGGCGCTGGGCCAGCCGCTGCAGCCGAACCCTTGGTGTTCCTGGGTCCCAGTCCGGAGCAGGTTCGAGATGGTCACAGGAACAGGAGAGGAGAAACAGTCCAGGAAGCAATGTGGACTGTTTAGCTAGAACTAGCTAATAAGCAGAGGCAGAAAGCAGAGCAGAAGCAAGAGCAGAAAAAGAGAGCAAGCAAAAGCAGCAAGCAAAAGCTGGAAGTAAGAAAAAACAGCTCTGTGTACCGCTTGTCTCTGTGTCCTGATAAGAGAAACCCAAACAAAACTTCCACTCTTCAGTGCCAGTCTTAAAGGCACAGAACAGATGAATGGGGATATACAAGCATCATAACGTCACCCCAGGACAGCACAAAAGTCTAAAACCGGTGTAACCACATTCTAATAGTGTCAAAAAAATAAAGCCATTTGAATAATTGGCACGCACGTATAAAAAAAAAAGGTAGCAATTTATTGACTTTGGGATTATCACTAGTTAGCAAAATTTTTGACATGACTTTTAAAAGATGACTACCAGACTATGTAACCACCAAATGATAAAAACAAAGAGATTAAATTCTAATGGATAGTAGAAAAAGGTAAAAGAGGAAATATGGCACTGAGCATCATTCTCTAATTAGCCCAGCTGATTAGAGAATGGTGTTAATAATGGCAAGGTTGTGGGTTTCATCCCTGTATGGGGCACTCACTTAGGAGTACTTGATGATTCTTGTGGGTCTCTTCCAACTCAGAATATTCTGTGATAATGTGGTAGAGCACCATGTGTGACCCTTTGCAGGATGCAAGGTAATGTTGTGTGCAGGATGACTTCCAGTGAAAGAGATTTTGTATGAAATTATTCTTTACTTCTCAAAGATGACTGTTAAATGAGAACAAATTTAGGAGCTGAAACCTTCTTCTACAGTAGAAAGATGGGGAGAAATAAGCATAAATCTCTAAAATGCTTAAACTACACAGGAGAAGAGAGTAGATTAAACTGCACAATCTGCAAACAAGCTAGCAATCCAATGCAAAAATATAGTAGAACTAAATGCTGAGTACTAAGTTGAATCAGAGAATGCTTGTGTTTTATATACAAATACATATTACAAGTTTTTTCCTTTAGAGAATAAATTATGCCAGCTACTCACAACAACAAAGCTCTGGACACTGAAACAAGCTCCCCAGGGAAGTGATCACAGCACCAAGCCTGCCAGAGTTCAAGAAGTACTGGGACAATACTCTCAGGTACATGGGGTGACTCTTGGGGTTATCTTGGTGATCCTTGTGCACCCCTTCAAACTCAAGATATTCTGTGATTCTGTGAATGTTGCTGAGTGAGACTAATGGTATGAACACCCTGAGTTCATGTGTCCCTAACACAAATTCTTGAAAACATTTATTAGTTATACTAACCTTGAAAATCTAAGAGCACATTGTGAGCACATTAATCACACCACCTGTGAATACTGCCTGCTGTCTGCTGCTTCTTGTCCTCTGCCCACTCTCTCTCTCCTCACTGCTTATTCCCCTTTGTCTGGAATGTATTTCGTGATTTCTCAAATGCCGTTTCTATAGTTGTCATTGAAATTCTTTCAAAGATTCACTTTTTCTTCAATTCCAGCAAATATAGTCCCAGTAACTTCTCTCCCATGGTGTTTTGACAGAAGAGAAAAAGAGGTATGTCAAAGAAGCATAAAACAATTTCAAATATTCACTTTCCTGTTGCTACCATCTTTTTATGTCTATTCTTTCTTGTAGTATTTTATATGCATAAGACTATCTTTGTATTTTTACTTCCTTAGCCACAGTTAGTATCATTGTTGTTACCTAAAAAAGAGACAGCAGTTTAGTCAATGACTTGGAGGCACATTTTATAATTTGTTGCTGCAAAAGGCCTTGTTCTCCATTCAACTTCCACACAGAGCAGCAGTGTAATGGTTCCACTGTCAATTGAATTGCAGGTTTAAATGGCGTAGATGAAGGAAGAACCTAATGGGGAGAAATTACAAGAATTAGGAGACTGGTGAGCTATTGGTGAGGATCCTATCTGGCTGTTATCTTCTTACTTGCTTTCAGGCACCATTAGTGCTGTGTGCTGGCTTATGCTCAAGGAGCATAGAAGGAAACACAGCCCACCAACAGGGAGGATCACAGACTATTTAGCATTTCACTTTCCAAGTGAGATCTAGTTTTCATTTGCCTGTTTGGATACAATACAAGCCCTGGTTCTTTTGCTGATCATTAAACTGATGCTGCTCTGATATAAATGTCACACCTGGACAGCTACACTGAAATTCTAGGAGGTGCTCGGGATATTCAGCAAATTACTGAGCTTGATTTTGCAACAGTAAAATCTATAGGGCCTGTACAGTATTTCTGCCTGTGAACTGGAAGCAGAGGTGGACAAAGAATAGAAGTGGTACCCAGAAGCATATATACATAATTTTTTAGGTCTATTCTTCCTGTTCTTCCCCCTTTTTCTGTGTGACTTTCATAAATTAAGCTGTCAATCCTAGAAATCTCAGTTCTTGAGATATGTTCTCACCTAGGGAAAAAGAAAAATGACTGGCCTTCTCTCAGAGGCCATCATAGAGTGCCTACATATCACCATACCATCTTAAAAAAAAAAAAAAAAAAAAAAAAAAAAAAAAAAAAAAAAAAAAAAAANAAAAAAAAAAAAAAAAAAAACCACCCAAACAAAAACAAAGGAACAAACCCCTCTCTTCTGCAGAATGTGCTATGAGTTTGAGCATCAGTTAATAGTATATGTATATGAGAATGTAAACACATACTGCTTCCTAAATTCATACTGTTTGGGCAAGCAGAAGGTGGGTCAAAAGAACAAAGAATTCACAGTGGAGATGTGAATTTTAGGTTCAGGTTTTGTAACTTGCAGGATGAAATAATGCTCTCATATGGTCTTACTCCTTGTGCTGTCCCCTGCTGCCACATTCCCTTCTGTAAATCTCTGAAGTTTTAAAGTAAAAGACCCACTTTCCACTAAAGGGAAAAGCAGTTTTCTACAGGTTTGAGACTTAGTCTTTTCCAAGTATTTTATTTCATTGGGTTTGAATGCTATTGAAATCTCAGGATTCATTCCTTTCAAATGACATTTTATTGACCATAAATCAATCACCATTTGGGTGACCAGTTAGAAACACACAAAAGAAACATCATTTGAAAAAAAATACTGTTCATCAACCCTCCTGAAAAAAACATTTTCCCAAATATTGAGGAAGGTAAGCCAAAAATAGGGTTTTTTTGTTGTTGAGGTTGTTCTCTGCTCTTCTTAGTACCTTGTTCACACGCAGATCATACATTGGTGTGCTTTATGTAATTACAGGCAAATAAATAGTGACATATATATGTAAAAAAGATTAGAATCAAACAATTTTTTGGTAGTTATTGGCTTGCCAAAGTAACTAAAACTGGAAAAAATTTGTGATAAAAATAGGAAAATATTAATTGCTTTCATTCTAAATAGTTATAAGTAACACCAAGAAAGGAAAAGGGACTTCTTTATGTATGACATGCTAAATTAAACTAGGCAGAGTACCAAAGTGTGCGTTGTAAAGAAAAAGTGATCTGAAAAAATCATGCTGAAAGCATGTGAAAAAGTATGCTCAAAATAAACTCCTAATCTTTTCTAACAGAAAAACTTTGGATCTGAAATGCATGTTTTTTGCCTCCAAAAGCTGAGATTTAGTTTTCTTTCTGATCTCCTATATAAATAATCATCTCAAAAATAGTAATAGGACAAAATCCAAAAGTGCAAACAATTGAGGGAGAATAAGCTTCAGAACGAAAATTTTGGAAATTTCTGGAAAAAAGTTATAGATACAATTTTTGGACTAATCTCTCCTCTGCTAAGTCAAAAGCTGAAGAAAAAATAATTGAAAGATCACTATTTATTCCTTCTTTGTTCTGAGAGTGCTCAATTTCTCTTAAGAGGAAGATTTGCTGATTCATGAGGCATAGAGAGCAGAAATGTCCTCAATTTCTGCAGAGTGAAAACATCAGCAATTTTTCAGCATGAAGAGACAGAAAGCTTGACTAAAAATACATAAAAGCACATTTGGAATAAGAGGAAAAACAAGCTAAAAATATTACTTGGATGAGCATAACCTATTTAGGTGCTGCACAACCACTGCTAGATTATGTAGTCTCGTATTTCCAGTGCTTTTACAAGGTCATCCATTAACCCTGATTTCTTTTCAAAATGTCTCAATCCAACTGTATTCAGCAGAGCTGTTGTTTAGATGCACACATTTACCTTTAGCTCTTCAGTTCACTTCATCCTTTGATTGCAAGCCTCCTCTCAAATGAGTGACTCATCTATGGTGATTGAAATTACCAGTCTGAGAATAGAGTAAAACTCAGCATAAACATTTGAGTTAACTTCTGAGAAGTAATGCTGGGTTTTATTTTTTTTTTCCATTTCTTACATGGTAAGCAGAGTGTGGACTTAAGCCTGTGTGAGCACTGAGACTGCAATCAGTTTTTGGTACTGGGTATGCATATTTTATGAATAGTTATTTGGATTTTTCTCATATTTCTTCTCTCCATCATCTCTAATACCAATAGGCAGCTATTTTACAAACACAGCTGATAAAGTGTTGCAGGGGAAAGTAACTAATTCATGTTGATTTTTTTCAATAAGAAATAAGCCCCATCACAGGTAGTATCACTTCTAATCTTCTGCTGCATTATAGTGAGCTACACAAACCTCCTGGGGTGCACAAACCTTCAGAATACTTTTAAGATATTCAGAAAAATGAAGAACAAAATCAGGTAACAATTCTAGAAATCCAGATCAGGAGGTCCTAGAAAGCTGAGTGAATTTCTATGAGGGGAAGGAATTCTTGAAGCTCTGAGACTGTTTTTCTGAGTTCAGGGAGCAGGAGCATCTGCTCCTGCACTTAAAAAGCACCTGGGCAGACACTCAGATGCAGAAAAATGTAAGTTCCTCCTCAAAGTGAAAAGAAGATAAAGTAAAAATGCTCCTATTTTGAACTAGCTTATGCTAAAACAGCTTTTAAAAATCATCTAGTCCCTGGTATCCCTCTTGATATTACTGTGTCCCAAAAGATGATAGAATCCCATGCTTCCTAGAATTCCAGGCATGAAAGCATGAAGATTTAAAGTAGTTTTCAGAAGCAGATCATCATATAGGAAATATTTGTTATCAGAAGGTGTTTGTGTATTAAAATAATTTCTGATATTAAAAAATATTATTTCCTTAGAAAATTACAGCAGCTACCCTTTGGTCAGCTGATGCTTTTACTGGGTGAAGTGTTACAAGCAGTCTAGGAAGCAGGAGAGTTAATGAAGCATGAAACACAGTGGTAAAACTCAATCATTGGGGTAAATCTACCAGTTTTCTCCTCATCAATTTATGTCTGTTTATATAGATGATACAGATTTTTTTTTTAAAGGAACAAAAGAGGAGCAAAGTAGGCTGGCTGTGTCCAAGACAAGGAGTGGATTCTTGAATGTGGAAAATAAGTGATCATTATCATTAAGAATAGAGAAGTTTTATAGTTGATTGACACCACATTGTTATAGTCTGGCTCTAAAGTGAAATAAGACAAAAGGAGGCTTGAAAGAGTGAAAAGTGCTTCTTTCTCCCAGGACTTTGGTTTTTTGGGTTTGTTTTTTGGTTCTGTTTTGGTTTTTTTTGGTTTTCTTTTTTTTGTCTTTATTTTTTGTCATTTGTTCTGTTTGTTTGAGGTTTTTAGTTTATGTTTTTGTTGTTGTTTTGATTTTTTTTTTGTGTGCATGAAAATGCAGAATTTTCTTATCTAGGAAGGGCATATTATGAAAGATGTCAAAATCATGATAGATAAATGTATTTCATCCCTTCTAGCACTTAATAATTCCTGTCTTACTGTGATAGGACCAATCATAGAGACACGCTTTCAATCTTCACACAGTGCCAAGAAACACGCAGCTTGAGATTTTTGCTGGGAGATTGCCAGCTCCTCAGGGAAAGGGTTATTTTGCAAAATAGATGGAACAAGCCATCTTCATGGTGGTGAGGTAACCTATTCAGAAAGCAAGAGAAGCTTTGAGAACTTATAAAGGCTTGAAACAAGCCTATTGTGGAGTTTGTTGGCTTGTTTGTTTTTCCAAAATGTTCAGCCAAAAGCTACTGTACAAGTTCCACCAAGCCTCTTTCACAGACCATCCCAAACCCAAGCTCTCCAGCCTTCAAGTTGAGAGTGCAGCAAATAGCCTCTTTGCAAAGGTAAGGTCCTTGTTCCATCTCGAGGGAATGTTTTCCTACTACAAAGTCAGAATGGATTTGGTTTTGCATGGAATATGGTCTGGAGATAAAGATCCTTCATGGACTCTAAACTCTATCAATAGACAGCACTTGTGCTTCTTTCTGATGAATTGAGGGAGTAACAGTATCTTGGAAAGCACAGAGACAAGCCTCCTTCATTTATCCCTCTCAGGAAATAGAAGAGGAGGGATGGCATTAAAAGAACCCAGAAACAAGTCAAAACAAAAACAATCAAGCAAACAAAACAAAAAAAGAATAAAACTGATGAAACGAACTGCTTTAGGCATTTCCCTCTAGCAAACCAGTACTAGATGCAATAGTGGCAATAATGATTAGCCATGGTGAATTTCAGAAAGTTAAATGAAACCCTAACTCAGAAAACCTGAGCTATT